CGCGCCCCACAGCAAGGCTTTTTGCACAGGGACGTTATCATGATATGTCATCAGATAACTTACTAAAGTGCATAAGGAGAGATGATAATCAATAAGTGAGCCGGAATATGAGACATAGAAGACGGCTGTAACCGCAATGATCATGGTGCTCAGGCTCTCAGTAGGTTTGAGCCCACATAACATCGATTGGTCACTCGTTTTTTATCGGATAGTGAGAAGCAGTCTCAAAGTATAAACAACATATCCGATCGTTATTGAGGGACAATGAGCTCCGGGACGCTTTCGCGAGTAGGAACTTGGGTCAGAGCGAACTCAAGATTTTACAAAACTACGGCCCCGAATATTCCAAGTATCGAGCAAGAGGCCCGGTGACTATTGCTATTGCTGCGCCATAGGCTGAATCAACACAGAGGTTCGCAAGAATTATCTCCGGGAATTCTGGGGAAGACAGGATTTCAATCAGCCTTGGGGGCCAAGGGGGGAAATGATCTTGCATGATACGGAGTACACCACGTCAACTGCAGTGGCTCAGTCATATGGATTCGGGGTCCGCCACCTAACCAACCATCTCTCGCGTTTGCAGCAAACCAATCGCTTCTACGGCTGAAATTCGAGGGATTATAGTCAATCTCTCATCCCAATAGGCTTCTTACTGACCGCCTCCTCACCAATCCTGGCAGGCACAAGTTTTGACCTTGTTGGTTGAGCAAATCCTAGTCTCACCGACAAGTTGTGACATGTTTGCTACAATTCATCGATCCGAAGAGCCGGGAAACATGAGACGGTCCCCAGTCACCGAACTTGTTGGTTCTGTAGGTAGTGCCCGAAGCCCGGACCAACACGTTCGGACTCGCTTTCCAACAGCGTTGCAGTCACATGTCATATTGTAATGCGCCACACAGAATGGACACTACAGTAACACGACGTCCTGCAGTGCGTGGGGAGTGTGAGTAAGAGGGCTCGAATGCGGCAAGCTATGGACGAAGGCACCTTGGAGGAGGCTGGGGGCAGGTTGGGCTGCTTCGCAATGCCTCATTGTATTTAATACCTGTCTTTCCCCTGACATCTGAGCGAATTCTCAAGAGATCATTATCCCCTTCTGCAGTATTTCCAGAGCGTGGACAAAACAACATCATACTTGCTGCCCTCCCTACAACGTCTCGATCACCATGGCTACGCCAAAGATTTACTTCGGTACCGTTCTGTTGAACGCAGACCAGGGCTACAAGTCCGCCGAAGACGTCAAGCCATGGCTCGACGTCTTGTTGGAGAGTAAAGACGCCATCAGCGGAGTCGATACCGCCGTTGCCTTCCGCGAGTGCCAGGACTACTTGGGCCAGCTCAAGTTCGCATCGCATTTCTCCATTTCCACCAAGGTGACAGGTGGTGCTCATCCAGTCCTGACGGCGACAAAGGACAACGTCATTGCCCAGGCCAAAGAATGCCTGAATAAGCTAGGCGTACAGCAGGTGCGTTGGTGTTTACTTGCCAGAGTTCGAATTTGCAGCTCCGTAAAGCTAATTCATTACTTTTCCGCGCTTAGGTTGACGTTCTCTACCTGCAAGCCCCGGATGCCCGAGTCCCTTTCGAAGAGACGCTTGCCGCCATCGACAGCCTTTACAAAGAGGGCGCCTTCAAACGTTTTGGCATTTCCAACCACACCGGCGAACAAATCGAACAAGTTGTTGAAATTTGCAAAAGCAAAGGCTTTGTAGTTCCCTCCGTGTTCCAGGGCAGCTACAACGCCATCGCACGCCTGCCGGAGACGAAAGTAATTCCCGTTCTGCGCAAACACAACATTGCGTTTGTGGCCTACAGTCCCATCGCGGGCGGCTTCTTTGCCAAGACATCGCAGCAGTTCCGCGACCAGTCTCTCCAGGGCCGCTGGGACAAGGCAGGGCTTTTCGGAAAGCTGTACCAGTTCCAGTATAACAAGCCCGCGGCGTTGGAGGCGCTGGACAAGTGGCACGAGATTGCCAAGGCCGAGGGCATTTCGAGCGTGGAATTGGCATACCGCTGGGTGGCGCACAACTCTGCCCTAGATGCCTCCAAGGGCGACGGCATAATTGTTGGCGCATCGACTGTTGAGCAGTGGAAGAGCAACCTCGCGGCCATCAAGAAGGGTCCTCTGAGTGCCGAGGTGGCGGCCAAGATTGACGCTCTTTGGGCGCCTCTGGAGGCGGGTTCCGTTCTCGACAATTTCCATGCCGTCAAGGCACTCATGGGGGCTGGGCCCCCCAAATAGTCCGCTCTGCAAGATGCAGACGACTGCGGACTCGATATCTTTCTTTAGTCTGGGCCGCAAACAGGGTACTTGGACATGTTACGAGCTACATGGTTGCGGCCAGGACGGGTATTAGGTTGAAGCGTCAAGTTGAACTAGGCTAACCGATCTTAAAATAGCGGCCCGTGGCCGATTATCCCCAATATTGAGCCACATATGTGTGCATTGCCGCCCTATGCTCGTGAAAGTTGCCGTGAATGTGCGCTTTATATTAAACTTGTGTAAATAAAAGTGCATCGGTTGAATCACCGGAGCAGCATCTAGTATCTGAAGGAATTGTGCACAGTAAAAACAGAGTATGCTATACGATTGGGCGGGTAAGAAAGAGACCCGAATCGGTGGTGGTATTACCCATCTCTTGACAAGGCGTAGTTGATGGCTGATGTATTAGTCCTTCTTCCTTGGGTACCTCCAGTGTCTCCAGAAGCGGCGTCTTTATTACTGTCCACATTGCGAGAAACTCGGCATGGAATTCAGTACATCTGGAAACCTTGACACACCTACGAAGTCTCCGCAGGTATGTTCAATGCATGGTGGAAGGGAAAATGCTCGCACGCCGCTATTGTCACTGTGCTAATATGCCTGATGGCTGTAGGTTTGGTGCCAGTACGTGGGCGACGGTGACGGCAACGCCACCGAACTTATTGCCAAGTTCGCAGATAAAGACGGCAACGTTGACCAAGGGAAGCTCAAGGACTTTCTTGTTGGGCTGTCAAGAGATGCGCCCGGAACAGTAACCGGCTTGTACAATTCTCTCAAAGCCGCACCCTCGGTCACCAAGAGCAAATACGGCCTAGGTGGAGCGGCGGGTGCTGTGGGAGGAACGGCAGTACTCGTGTATAACTTCATAATAGCTAACATGGGACAGGGGGGCTGGTTTGGCCCCGAAATAGGGTTTAGCCAGTGGCTACAAACGAACCCCATATGCGGCGCATCAGGCACCAGGTCCTCTCCGTTCGACACTACAGGAAACGTCATGGTGTATTACAAGCCAAACACAAAGCTGTGTATACCCTTCAAAGACGCGAGTAGTGTATTTTGGAGTGAGTCGGTTAAGAAGTGCAAGTTTTGGCACGACAAGAAAGACTGCGATACGTCCTACGCTTATGATGCCAGGACGGATATCGGCAAAGAGCTGAGAGAAAGGTGCACCAACGAGCTAGATAGAAACGGACTGCCCGACAAAGAGAGGGAAGAGCAGATTCGAAAGGGGCAAGCAGGTTGTATCCGCCCACGGTGGGTTTGCGGCAGTCCGGGTACGCGCCTGAGGGATCCTTTAGACTTTTAGTACTGCATGGACGGTTCCGAGACAGCTAAGAAGGCATGCAAGCTGACCGGCTTGACTTATAACATCGGGCGGAAGAAGACTGAGGCTGAGGAGCATCAGGAGGAGGAAGAGAGGCTGCAAAAGGAAGAGTCCACGTGTTTCCATCCCCGGCTGTCTTGTAGAAGCGCTAATAATAAGTTTCTGTACTGCATGAGATGATTGGTTGGAGAAGAAGAAATGCAAGGAGCATGAATTGGAGACCAACTGAGCAGCCGACAAAAAGCAGCCAGTGTGCCAAGATCAAGTCATACCCAGTACCCGGCGGCCCTTATTATACTGCCGTCTGTGTGCCTGAGGAGAGGGTAAAGCTTAGGTATGCATCGCTATGTGGGATACTTGGCTATTGTACTTGATTTCTGAATTCAATACACACGAGAGAGAAGAGTACGTCGAGTATGAGGGTGCACTTGAGTTCTGTTTATGCTGGTGAATTTGCAACCTGCTGCATGGGGACTGGGTGCGCCTCCTTCTATTCCAGTCACCATGGTAGAAATATAGCACGATATACTCTGCACCGACTGCATTTGGCCCCTCGAGTTTAAAAACAGTATTAATAGCAGCCTCGGAGCGCTATATGCCGGGTTAAAAGCTAGGGACCAAGTGAGCATGGTGGGAATGCACCGCTGCAAGCAGTTTCGAGGCACTGAGGTACTCTGACTAAATACAAACAACCGCATTTACAAGTTACATTCGTTTGTCCCCGCCTGGGTACGATCCTGAACATGTGGAGTTCGGGATACATTGATCCAGAACGGAACCCCCACGGCGGCGCGGTTCCGTTGACGGTCCGGCTTGACCCGGAGTTCCCCGATGAACATTACCCTTTTTGGATTATTCCGAGCATGAATGCGTCGGGCATCTTCACTCAAGCGGCTCGTCCCGTCGTACCACATTGACAGACAAATCTTCTTCTTTGACGTCAGTCGCATGAAACCCGTGTCGCAAAGAACCGGTGGTCACTCTTAGTCGATGAAAAGGGCATACCAACCCCAACACACACCTTGGGGTAAAAGAAAACAATCCTGCACGGTGAGGTTCTTTCTGGCCAGCTTTGCATTTCCAGATATCACATCCTGTATAAAATCAAAAGCCTACTACATATTCGGTGCATAGCTCCGAATTAACATCACACTCGCAGGAGCCCATAGGCAGCCGATCCATCCTGAATTGAACTCTGAGCCGACAGCTGGACCCAACGACGATAACTTCTCTCAGGCAATCGCCTACCAAAACACCACATACGTAGCATCATTGGGCGTATCCTTAAAGTACAAGTTATCCCCATCGCACTGCGCATTCAGCCAAGTCGGGTTTCTCAAGCCACCGTTGCCGTCCCCGCTGTTAAACTGACCGCGCAGCTTATACACCACCGAGTACAGTTGCTTGCCATTAACCCACCTCGTCTGCCTCACGTAGTTTCGTCGACTGAAACCACAGCGGACTGATGGGATCGCACGGCAGAGCGCACAGCAACCCATTGCCGCCGCCGTGCGAGGGGGACACGGCACACGTGTCCTTTGGGGCGAGCCACAGTCTTAGAAAGTCGTCCATAATGTCACCTAGTCTACCCCAGTTTCCCTTGGTCTTCCACGAATAGCTGACGGAGCCGCACGCGGAGCTCGTCCTCTCCGTCATGATCTCGATGGGCTTGTCGCGAGTGACAAACTCGCCGTTGACGTTCTGCTCGGCCTGCGTGACGCCCGCGTAGAATTGTTTCTGGTTGCGCTTGTTGTCTTGGTGCAGGTGCTTTCCTGTGAGGCCACCTTTCCAGTAGATGTTGGGTGCGTAGAAGTAATTGCCGCACACTTTGACGATTGACATCTTGGGCTTCTCTTCGTTTCGCACCAGGTTGTAGACTGTTCCGTCTGCATAGTATTGGGCGGCCAGGTTAGAGTTGCGGGACCACGACTTCGACGTGAGGAGATCGAAGATTCCTGAAGATCCGAATGGATTAGTACCGCTGGGTCGGACGAGATGTTACTAATGGGTATTCCGATCTCGTACGCTGCGGCATTAGCAGGTGCTGGCTTCGTTTCGTCGACGTCTTGCCCAGAAACAAGCCTGTGCAGGCTGGCGGATGGGAGGAGAGCAGACATGTAACGCATGATGAGTGCTACTTTTGTTTGACTGTATTTAGTGAAAAAAAAAAAAAAGACATTGTTGTGCCTTAAAGCTGGCATTTCCAGCTTTTTATATGTATCTCGAAGGCCGCGGGCACACTGTCCTGCTTGTCCGAGTTTCTACTAATGCAAATCATGTAACTTCTCTTTTTTTTTCGCCTGTATTTCTGTCGCGGCACATGCTAACACGATACAAAATGCATTTCCATTCAGAATTGGTCCTTTACGCAGTGCTGGGCTGCCGTGGCAGCTCCGACGACATGCATACGTCCAGGGAATGTCATTAGCGGGACAGAGCGATGGATGCTGAACCTTGCGAACTCAGCTTTTCCATACTCCGTGGGAACCGCTTCCCTTCTTCTGCATTCATTTAAACGAGCTGTACATATCTAGCAGATATATTCTGGTACCGCTAGCCTTCAATGTCCTAGGTCATGAGCAAGCTCTGCGTTGAACTTTTGGTCAAACCACAAGCTGGCTTTGGGTGGCGAGCGGGATATGCTGCAATTATGACAAGATGTGCCATCCGGTTAATCTGCCTCTTTCACAGCACTCTGCATATAGTGATGGTGATTGTTCCCCAGCTGGTTATGCACTCAAGTCACAGACGCAGCCAGTGGAGACACCACGAAGGTGACTATCAGCATGTAAGATCACGGGATAAATTTGACAGGTATTGGCTAATGGTAGCAGATTTGCTTGCATTGCATCACAGAGTTACTGATGATCCCGGCCTGTAGCGTACTAGCGGACACACACGTGGCAATTCCCGGAAGTTGGCCAATACGGTGCGAGACTCGAACGGTGAGGAGTAATGTAGAGTAAACCATTGCTTGTCGTATCTGCCACATTGGAGTGCCAAGTCTCAAGTACTAATCAATGGGTCCCGTTTGCTGCTCACTGGACCTGTTGGGCGACAAGAATGGGCAGCGGCAGCAAAGAGTCTTGTGACGGTACGGCATGATGGCAGTGGGCATGATGCGGCAAAGCGGAACAATTGAAGGGACACAAAGGCTTGACCAAGTAGGCTACTGTGAGGGAAGACGCTGGCTCTATAAAAGGGAAAAAAAAGGCGGGGTGCACCAAAAAAGAAAAAAAAATTAACACCCCGGTCAAAGAGCTATTGCCCATGTGCTGAAACAGCTCCTCCATTGTATTGCGACCTACACAGGCACAAAAGCCGCGGCCTGGGTGCCAAGAGTCGGTCTCAACATGCTGTAAACTGGATTATTTGTTCAAAGCAAGTGTTGCCATGGACGAAGCGATTGCTCCAGTCAGGCAGGGATTGGTGGTAGATCTAGATGAGGTGGAGGAAATTCAGCATACGGGGCGGGTCCCGACCGTCGATTGTTTTTGCCATGATTCGTAGGACCAGACGGCCGGCCGTTAGTAGTTACCGTGAATCCCCACCGTCTGGTGGCTTATATGGACGTCGCGCTCGCTTCAGCCTGTCACCCAGAGTCCGCTTTGAACAACCAAGCAAATGCAACAAATTCTTGCGACTTGTAAAAATGCTTGTTTAGTCCTCCTTTACATGTGGCGCATCCTTTATTCGCAACTCGTCCCTGTCACTCGCAAGGTCACGCGAGGTGAGCACAGCTCGTGTGGGTTCCTACTATTGCATGTAAGGAGTAGCTAATCCTTATACAGCGATACAACTACCTACTACACATATTCAAAAACCCAACTGTTTGGTTTTACGTCACGGGAGAGCCGCAGGCACCATCAACCGGGTCTTGCTCATAATGGGGGTAAAAGGAGAGAAGCAAAAACATGATTCAACTATCTTGAAGTCCTAAAAAGCAAATCCTATAGTCTCGCAAACCTGCAGTGTTTCAACTTCCTCCAGCCTCCGAATAGCATACCCTGAATTCAATTCCTCCCCATGCTGTCTTCATCAATAGTGTTATCCCAAAAAGCACAGTCCAAAGTCTAACCAACTTGACGTGTTCTGGCTTCCTTGATGCTTCAAGTGGCGTGTGCTGAATCTAGTTCCTCCTGACAATTCACCACCCTAACATTTTCGTCCGCATCAATCACGAATTTGAGTCCTGACAACAGCTTCTTCTCTATTTCGTCCATCGAGTCCAGAGCTCGCCAACAGTAGTCGAAAATCTTCTCATCATGAATCCACTGTGCATGTGTCGTTAATTTACGTTTCCAAAGTTGCCACATTTTTGTAATCAGCGGCGTGCTGAAATTAGCTCCAATGGTGGAAAAGTTGCGGTCTCCGCATCCCCCAGACCTAGTTCCATTGAGACAGTCTTGCAAAAGTCGAGTATTGCCGCGAATTATCCAGCAGCAAGCTACAAAAATCTTTGGATCACGTACTTCCTCAGGCTTGTCGTTCCACGTGTCAAGCGCGAGACTCATCCCGGAGCTGGCAAAGGAGGAAAAGCCACGGCCCAGTTCACCGTATAGGCCTGCAACGAAGGCATTGAGATTTATCCATTCGTCAACTTGGAAAGTCTTGATATCGTTGAGAATCTGCTCGTCGCTACACCAGGGATCTTTGTCGGATATTTCCGTTAGTAATCAGGTCTGGACGTGGTCGAATCGACGGTTGTATACACACTAAATATCCACCGTTTCTCCAGTTGCTTTTCAAATTCATCCAGTTTCTTCCATCCAACTACATTCTCAAACATCTGCTCAAAAACTGTGGCTAGATCCCGCTGCCAACTGTGGTCATGAGGAATACAGCTTGCGAGACGGATCAAAGTAGTGAAAACACACAGAACGTGGCCGGTCTTGGAAAAATGCTGAATGCACGAGAAGAATTCTATGATTTTCTCTCGGCGATCAGGGGTACGAGGAGGCGCATCGGCTGCGAGGAGAAATTTGTTTACGAGTTCGTCGATCACGAGCTCATCGCGGTTGCGAAGACGGCTGAAATCTATTTGTTGCTCCGCCATGATGGGTATTGACGTATAAAATAGTGGCCGAAGGCGAAGAAGAGGATATCGAGAGGATGGAGTTGCCGGAGCATTGTCAGTGTCAGTTTGTTGACGGCAAAAGGGTGGCTCTATATACTTGGAGAGTCAAATTATTCACACACAATCAGCAGTGGCAATGATCAAAGCCATGGAGCTCTTCATCCTTTGTTGATGCATGCAAGACATTCTGTGTCCGAACAGGCGACTTTCACATCGCAGAGTCAACATTTCACAACGCCAGGCGGGTTTCACCGTTGAGCCATGAAGACCCAAAGAAAAAAAGAATCCAGCAATAGTTTCTCTAGGCCAGACACCCCCGATATGCAGTCAAGTTTGATGATCCCAAAGGCAACACACCAACCACACAACGGACTAGACACCTTGTTCACCGTGTAAGTCTCAACACCGCACCATAACTCGAGCCTCTGCATCAAATAAGCAGTAAATCAACCTTTGATGAATAGCTCACCGGTAACGATGCTCTGGGATGTTAAGAGTCCTCAGATGCTGTCAACAAAGATATGATAAATGCGTAATGTTTGTTTCCCCGGCCTTTTGTGCAGAGAAGCCGCCACACAATAGCTTCTGTGTGTTACCCATTGACTCTTGTCTTTGTGGCCCTGCCACACCCGCAGCGGACACCACGAGTACTGCTAACCAACAGGGCTACTTCTGTGCATGAACACAGCCTTGTATTTTTGTTTTCACGCATGGCACGCCGTTCTTTGGCAGAAACTGAAACCACGGCCAACATGCACGCGGTCCGCCTGTTGCACCGCTTTGTGCCACGCAATCACATCATCCTCGGGGGTCCAATGATCAATTGTTGGCCCCCAAATTTACTGCAGTAAGAGGGTCTGCGAGTTTACACAAAGTTTGGGGTAAGAATGGCCGGATCCCCTAGCCGGGTCCGTTGGTTGTTGGCCTTGTGATTGGGCATTGTTTGGTGCGACTCCGGGCCCAATGCCATGCATGGCTTGGGAACCCAATGTTGTATATCTGTTCTCGGTCTCTCCATGGAGTATTTCTCAAGTCCCCCACTCCTAGTCGATACCGTTTACTGTGCTCCTGTCTTCCAGCTCTTGGTTTTCTGCTCCACAGGACAAGCAATGGACGCATCGAGCTCGAGCGAATGGGGAGAGAAAGGTCTACACATGGCCGCCCCCGAGACCATGAAGTACCGGCTCACACAATCACAAGCCCATTTCCACGAGGAGGAGTACTAACTATGCTCAGTGAGTCCAGTGACTGGACACTCGTGACGCGAGGAAGACAGTCACGTCCGAATGATGAAGCCCAAAACGGGTCTTTTGTAAGTTTCTTGTTTGTGCAACTAGATCTCTGTTTTCTTTTAAAAAGCTTAAACCATCTTAGTACTCCTGCTCCAACTTGGAACCGGATCACCCCGGCCGGTACGTGAAAGCATCCGATGTCAGAGCTCAGATAGCTCAAATCCCAGACTACGACAAACACGCCAAGGGCAAATCCAAAGAAATCAAGAATGAGTACCCAAAAGTGTTTGCGAATATCGAAAGGTTCCCCGACTTGGCGTCTGGCGGTCCTAGGATAGAGTATCCATTGAAACCAAAAGGAGTCCAAATGTGGCGGGACAGTGACAGGATGGGGAAATCGGCGGGCCTTCACCGCGCAATTTGTGACAGAGACAAGGTATATAGGACAGGCTTTGATGTAGTCTACCATGACGTGACCAAGTCGCAGAGTCCCTCAAACAACTTGACCCGAGCGATTTATCGCAGCGCCGAGGAAGCGGCGGAAAAGAGGAAGCAAGAGAGGCACAAGAAACACCGACGAGGAGAAGGCTCTGGATCGTCCAAATCTTGATATTAGCAACGAGGATGACTATTGCGAAATGCCACAAGACAAAGATTAAAGCAAACTTGTGCAAGAGGAGTGAGAGTTACTTGAAGGCGGCTTCAGAATATCTTTCCAATTATTCGTACGAGCTTTTGAACAGCGCCCTCTTATTATTCGCCCCCGTTATATTTGCGAATAGCTGACAGATTGGTATTTACATCAGAAAAGAAATCTATGATTATTCAAACTCTCCACGGCAGCAGTGTTCACTCAATGACGGGCACATAAAGACTCCTGCTTGTATCTTTTCTCGCGAGAATGCCTGATGTTGTGCTTTGAACTTAGGGTTCTTGGTTCTATATCTACGCAGATTGTGTATTGAATGAAGGCAGACTAGAAGAGTCCTCCGCATGCTTCTCAGTCTTAACTCTCGACATTGTAATACTTTACAGACGGCTCACTCGAGTCCGCTCCCTTCATTCTCTCATCAGCATACGAGAGCGCCCAGTCTTTGAACCGATCAATATTAAATTTCTGGACCCAGCCTTGCTCCTGCAGATTTCGAATGGCATCCTCAACCCACGTCACGCAACTCTGCTGCGGATGCGTATTTTTGACGGGTAGAGGAACCTTGCCAAAAAAGTCGCCAAGCTCCGGCGCCGACACCTCGTCCGGAACATGGCCAATGACGATACGCCCAATGAGCTTAGTCCCGAGCTCAAGGTCGACTTCTGTTTGGGAACGGAACCACCAATCCATAGTAGGGTTCTTCATTCGAAAGGTCACGGGGTCAATGTCACTTGCATCTGTGGCATCAAAGGCGTGGCAGTCTCGCCCTTGGCTCGTCTGGGGCATGACGATTATACCCCAGTGGTAAGCTTCGTAGCCAAAAGTTCGTCGGGCGTTTCCCTGAGAAAAATGATCTCGGTGGTGCAGGGCCACAGCAACTAACCCTGCCATGGTCGTTTCCGTATCCAGATGCGAACAGCAGCCAAAATAACAGTTGAGGCGAGTTTGGATGACAAACGAATCCGCAGGTACTCGACGCTCGTGCCACGCCCCACCATTAGGTAATTCAGCTACAGAAGCTCTCACCACCATACTAATGGTGGGGCGTGGCACGAGTAGTGGCAAGAGGAATCAAGACGCGAGGTTGCATGTGTAAGCCGGTGGATCTGCGTCATTAGGGCGTTAGACAATTGGTGATGTATCAATCATCGTGGCCCGAGTCATACGAGACTCCACCCACAACCTGTCGATGTCCGGGATGCGCACTGGCCGATTCCTGGGCGATGGAACAGTGTGAATCCACTTGTGACAAGGGCTCGTAGAGGGCTTAGAGTCAACAGCTCAAGTAATCTAATAACAGTCTGTGGTATCAAAGATCCTTGGTTCTCTCAAGGCTTGGATAGACTAAAGAGCTCTATTTATACAAGTAAACGGTGAGAGCCTTATGCCCTAGGTCTCGTGATCGTAGTCCTCATGTAACCGTGTGACCTTTAGTCATTATTCACAGACCGGTATACCAAGTCCACTGGCCTAAGGGTGTTTTTATATACGTGGTGGAGAACTATATAGTATATTAAAACTAATACATATTTACAACTCTAACTCATGGGAACATATTACCTTTACTAGTAATTGCTTTCAGTCAAAGTCCAAGTAATTTAAGAATTGATGAGTTTCAGAATCATACATCTTAACGAACCCAGTTGTTCTTAGGTCCGACTATGTAGAATCACCAACTGTGTGACAAGGGCTCGTTAGAGGGCTTGGAGCAATTTAGCTCAATTCATCTAATAACAGTCTTTGGTATCAAAGGTCCTTGGTTTTCCTCGAGGCCTCGTTGACCAAAGACCTCTTTAAATGCAAGAAGTCGGTGAGGGACTTTGCCCTAGGTCTCATGACCGTAGCCCTTGTGTAACCTTTAACATTGGGCTATTTCCGTGTAACAAACTGCGAGGAGCTAGCTCCTATTAAACAACAGTGTCAAAAAGATAACGTAGCAGAAAGTACCCCTGTTGTCTGGTAACTAAGCTCTTACATGAGCGGTCTAGTCTCCGTCGTTGCGCAACTTGGTAATGGACCCATCGTCCCTGCAAAATGAATGTGGACAGGCAAGTTCGAGAAAGGCTATTACTTCATGTCAAAACTCACATGAAATACGAGGGACTTCTTGACCTATATACATATTTTGAACTCGAACAGGATTAATACTTGAATATCATAAGAGAAGAGAGTCAACTTGGAGCTGTTACTTTTATAGTGGGAATAGAGATTCGATAGATAGCCGTCGGCCCAAAATTGCAGGATATCGAGATGGTTGAAAGAAGATTGCATTGAACAAGAGTAATCGGGCAGCTTGGTAGCTACCTAGAAGTCAGTGTGACAAGGGCTCAATAGAGGGCTTGAAGCAAATAGTTCAATTCATTGATAACCTTGTAGGATGTCAAAGGTCCTTGGTTTTCCAAGAGAGAGGAATGGACTAGTGACCGCTATAATGAGAAGAACGTGTGTCTAGGGGCCCTCACCGGTCAGGTGTTCATCTGTGTAAACGTGAGGTCCTTTGTCCCGATGCCCTTTTGTTGGGCTTTATTGCTGGATCGGGACCGTGTAACAGTCAGGTACATTTTTATTTTAGTCTTACTTGGTCCACGTCTGCAGGCGGGAAATGGCCTAGGTTAACTTGATGTACGTATTTGACACCAATGTCCCATGCTTTGAAGAAGTCGAAACTTGATAACTCAGAAGGTCTTCCTAAAGTAGCTAGCATGATAATAGCACGCCCTGCAACTAAGAGGAACTCCGTATTGGTCATTACCCCGCAGATTATGTGATGGGTGCAAGAGCATGGGAAGAGATGACAGCTTCCAGAGTAAACTACCGGAAGTTCCCTCTTTGGTAGCACAGCAGACCCTTCCCAACGACTGAATGGCTGCGGCATTTTGGGCTCAGAGACTCTTTGTACAGATAATTGATGCCCAATGAGGCCCAAATCTACAAATAGAGCGATTAAGAACCCGTTGTCGCTACGTGGAAGTTAAATCATCTCCGCCAACTTATTGCGCGACTAAGTTACTTGTTGCGGCAGCTTTTGCAGTTGATTGTCGTTATAGAACGATGACACAGAAAACTTGGTTTCTGCCACCCGACTTCACTTTCCGACCGGAAGGCGAAATACGGTTGGGAACAATCCTCAAAGACCCAGGGAGACCGACTCTCAGCATAACAACCGTCGGTCCAAATGAAACGCCAAGTCTTGTTCTCCCCGAAGTGGAGTATCTGATTGAGACTGCCCATAGGCACGGCACCGAAGCGAACCAGTCTATAAATGCCGGATTCTTTGCGAAATTTGTCGAACTGGCTACAGGCTCGGGGAATGTTGACGTTGCCCGCTTCCTTGACCGAACATTTGGTACTGTTGACCATGTGGTGCATCAGTTCAGTGGTGCTTTGAGCCCAGCCACTGTCAAGGCGATTGTCAACCTCGACCAAGTGAAGAAGTACGTCAATGGTGGCAAATTCGGCTGGGCCAGGAAGCGGCCGGTGTACATAGTGTCTGGACTACGCATTGCCAAGGACTCATTCAAGGTCAGCAATGAGGCTGCATTGACTTCGTCCATCTCCGTTGAGGCATCCGTGATTCCTGATTTGACTGGAGCACCTGTGCCCCGTGAAATAGGGGTGAATATGGAAGCCAGCAGTGACAAGAGGACTTCGAATAGTTACAACACGGCCGCAGGTATCGTATTTGCTTACAGGATGCACGTGATACGCACTGCTTCTTGTGGCCAGGTTGAATCGGAGTTATTTTCATCTACGACGGCCTTTTGTACGGGCTCCGGAGGGGGCGACAAAGAGCCGGATATAGAGTGCGTGGAGGTAATAAGCTAAACGGTAGGCCACATGCATGATTCTAGAGATGGACTAGTTTAAGAAGAATATATTATCGGCGATAATATCTTAGCTACTCTTAAGAGCAAGTAATTAAGTATAAGTTGAGATATACTTTAAGAAATATATATTATGTGGCGGCGTCTATGCTTATAGTTTAGAGGAAATTAGAGGGACTATTTAATTTTACTAGTATAAGAAGATAGCCTTTAATTTTAATCTTTAATTTATTCTTATTTAATGCTTTAGTTTATTAATATTTTATTAATTTATTTAATTAAATTTATATACAAGAAGAACTATAGTTTAAGTAGCTAAGAACCTAAGGTAAGAGTAATTTATAACGCGTATACGAAGTTACCTGCGAAGAGGGATCGAATTAGGTACCGCGTATAAGAAGTTACCTGTAAAGAGAGATTAAATTAAGCTTACTTATATTCTAAAATAAGGTATAAATTCCTATTTATTTTAGTTTAAATTCTACAAGTATTATTACGTAAGAAGTAAGTATAAATTAAAGTTAAAACCCTTAATAAATAAGTATAAAAGAATTAATTTAAATATTAAATAATTTAAATAAGTTTTAATCTTATATTATTAAAAGATTTAAGAATAAAGTTCTTTCTTAATTTCTTACTTAATTATCTTATATTTTAAGTTTATTTTAATAATTCTTAAAACTTCTTTATATAATTACCTTTAAAAAGATAATAAGAACTTAAGAATAAAGCTATACGTTATATAATAATATACTAAGAGAAAAGATATTTATTATATCTCTTATACGTAAATTATTTACTCTTTTAACTCTTATTAAGTACTTTATTATAATTATATAAAAGATATAATTAAAGAAGTACTTACGTAAACTTAAGCGAATTTAAGAACTTAAAGCTTAAGAGTAAGAGTTACTTTAAGATTTATTCTTAAATAATAAAAGAAGGTTCTTAAAATAATAAAACTTCTTCTTCTTAAAAGA